TGGTGTTTAATTCCTGTCATTACTATTTTGTACTTTTCAATGTAGAAGTCCTGCCTTTCTTTGGTGAAATTTATTCTTAACTATTTTATGCTTTTGTTACTATAATAAATACAACTGTTTTCTTAATTTCCTTTTCAGATTGTTCATTGATAGTGTATAGAAATACAACTGATTTTTGTACATTGATCTTTTATCCTGTAAACTTGCTAAACTTAATTTTAGCTTTACCAATGATTTTTGTGGATTCTTTAGGATTTTCTACATATAAGATCATTTCACCTGCAAATGTAGTTTTACTTCTTTCTTTGCAATCTTTTATTTTCTTCTTAACTGCCCTAGGTAGGTTCTCCAGTACAATCTTGAGCAGAGGTGGTGAAAAGGCACCCTGGTCTTGCTCCTGATCTGGGGGGAAGCTTCAGTCTTTCACCACTAAGTGCGATGATAGCTGTGGGTGTTCAAAGATGCCCTATGTCAGGCTGAGGGTGTTTGCTTCTGTTCTTGATTTGCTGACTGTTTTTATCATGAAAGGGTGTTGAGTTTTGTCAAATGCTTTTTCTCGGTCTATTAAGATGTAATGTGGTTATTTTCCCCTTTATTCTATTAATAAGTTATATTGATTGATTTTTGTACGTTCAACAAATCTTGTGCCCCTCAGGTAAACTCCACTAGGTCTTGATGTATAAATATTTTTTTAAACAGTCAGATTCAATTTGCTAGTGTTTTGTTGAGGATTTTATATCTATATTCATAAGAGATGCTGTTCTGTAGTTTTCTTGTGATATCTTTGGTTTTGGTATCAGGGTAACACTGGCCTCATTGAGTGAGCTGGGAAGTGCTCCCTCCTCTTCTATAGTTTAGAAGCGAATGTAAAGAACTGGTGTTAATTCCTTAGTTAGTAGGATTCACCAGTAAAGTCATCCGGTCTGGGTTTTTCTTCATGGGAAGTTTTTTGATTGCTAATTCAATCTCTCTACTTGCTATAGGTCTATTCAGGTTTTCTACTTCTTCCTGAGTCAGTTTTGGAATTTGTGCCTTTCTAGGAATTTGTCCATTCCATCTAGAATGTCTAATTTGTTGGGATACAATTGTTCATAATATTCCCTTTAATACTTTTTATTTCCGGAATGTCTGTAGTAATGTCCCCTTTCAGTCCTGAACTTAGTGATTTGAATCTTTCCCCCCTTTTTTCAGTCCAGCTAAAGGTTTGTTAATTTTTTGATTCTTTCAAAAAACAACTTTTAACTTCACTGATTTTTCTCTCTTGTTCTTCTGCTCTCTGTATTATTATTATTTTTTACAATTTTCTGAGTCTATAATTATTTCCAAATAAAAAGTTCAAAAAAATGTACTGTGTGCTTTTATGTGCTGGGGATAGAGTGTGAACAGGACAGGGAGACAGATAATAAACAAGTGAACAGGACCATTCCTCGCAGTGAGAACTGCTCTGAAGAAAATGGAAAGGCATGATATGATAGAGCCTGGGGTGGGGAGGGGCGGGACTCCTGGAGGTTGTAGAGTCAGGATGTCTTGCTGACAAGGTGATCTTTGGGCTGAAATCTAACTGAGGAGAAAGAAGCTGTCCATGTGAGAATCTGCAGGAAGGATGTTCTGGGCAGAGGGGCAGCAAGGGCAGAGCCCAGAGGTGGCGGGAATGAACTTGGCAGGTCAGTGGAGCAGAAGGAAGCCGGTGGCTGCTGGAGCTCTGTCTGTGATGCAGGGAGGGAGCTGGAGACAGGGAGGGAGCTGGAGGCCTGCTCACAGACAGCCTCCCAGGCCTTGGGGACACATCTGATTTTATTTCTCAGAGCAACAGGAAGTCATGGCAGTGGTTCTAAGCAGGGGAGGATGCAAGCTGATATTTTTTAAAGATCACTTTGAATACAGAGTAGAAAATTGAGTGCTTTGGGCAAGAATAGAAGAAAAAGGAGGCCAGTTAATAGTGCCAGTGAGAAGGAACAGCTGATCAGACTTGGGAGATATTGGTGGAAAGGGAGAAGGGGCCAGCCAGATCTAGCCCTATTTTTGGGGTGGAATCAATAGGACTTGCTGGCATGCTGGAAGGTGGGGGGAGGCAATCAAGGAAGACTCTAAGTGCCAGGCTTGGGCAGCTGTGCAGATAGCACAGGTATGTCGCAGAAGAAGAGATTTGGGCACAGGCAAGGAAATCAAAACTGAGGTTTTAGATCTCCGACGGCTGAGATGTCCACAGACATCCAAGAAGAGACGTCAAGAGGGAATTAACCTTCCAGTCAGGGGCTCAGAGGAGCAAGCAGGGCTGGCGCATAAATCTGGAGCCTTCTTGAAGCCGTGGACCTGGGGTAGGCCAGTACAACACGGTGTGGGCAGTGAAGCGCGGAGGTTGTGCACTGATGTGGGGCCCACTTCTTTCACATGCCCCTAACTCAGCTCCATTCGAGTAGCTTCTCTCTTAACTCAGCTCTCAGCTGAGTTAACTTTCTGTTCAGCTCCCAGCCAGCTCCACCACTGCATTGCAGCGTGGCCGGGGGCAAGTCACTTATTTCCCAGAGACTGAGTTTCCTCGTTTATCAGATATGGAGAGTAACCCAAGGTCCATGCGAGGATTAAATGAGGGATGTCTGGGTCCTGGCTGGCACACTGTGGGTCTTTAAGAGAACCCAGTGAACTGGATGGTTCTAGAAGGCAGTGTGTACAGTGGCCCTGAGCCCGGCATACAGGACAACACCAGGGAGGCCCCAGGCCAGGGCAACAGGAATCCAGCTGACCCACAGCTGAACCCAGAGATCTAATAGCCCAGGGTGAGACAGTCGCCTCAAGTCCCAACCTCAGGGCCAAAAATAAAAAACGCAAACCCACAAAAACCATGGGCCGAACTCCTCACTGCTCTCACATGGCAAAGCTCATCAGCCTCTGCTGAACAGAGGAAAAGGGAGAGTAATCATCAGAATTGGGCCCCATCAAATTCAATGATGCTTTTTATAGGCCCTGGTATGCCCTGCTCTGTATAGCAGGCTTCCAAAATGCCACTGCCTTGTGCAAAGGGGTTTGGGAGAGGGGAGGCAAGGGCTGGTGCAAGCCCCAGCCCCAGCCCCAGCAGCACACACACACATACACACACACACACACACACACACACACACACACACACACACACACACGCGGTAGCCTGTGGACTGGAAGCAGGAAGCAGAGCAGGGCGGGCAAGGCCAGGGTATCAAGTGCTGTGACCTGTGGGATGTTTCTTTCAAGGTTCAGGATGATCACAGAGCTGCTGCTCTTTAGGAGGGCAGAGGGTGCAGACGCCGCTGGTCCAACCCTGTGGAGGGGTGGTGCCTCTCAGCCACCCAGCATCTATCCTGCCTTTCTTTCAGTTACAACCCTGAATTTCTTCCGGGAGGATTCCCTCCCTTCCCGGGGGCACCTTGGTTGTTCTGGCATCAAGGTGGCCGGCCTCCTAGCCAGGTTGGTCCGCCAGCTCTCCTCTCTTGGATTGGATGTCTCCAGCAGAGTGATGACAAACCAACTACCCAACTAATCAACCAACAGAACACAGCCCATCTCCCTCAAAAGACAGCCAAACCCTCAGCGCACACACATCCCAGAACACTGCCTGGAACCTACCATGACCATGGGCTGTCCTCCTCTGACCTGGAGACAGTGAGTACACCAGCTCCTCAAAAGTCGTGCAAGAAATTGTTCTTCAAAGAATTTGCTAAAGTTTCTGTTACTAGAAATTAGGAATCAAAATGGATTATCCACACGCCTCCCTTCCGTTTACAGGGGGCAGAAAAACTGACTCAGAGAGGCAGGTAAATCACCCAAGACCAGAACTTGGGACTCTAGAATTGGGGGATTTCAAAGCCCCTTTTCTTGTTTCCTTTCCTTTAAAATGAGAATAGTAATATCTACTTCTTAGTGGTACTGATACTGTTAATAATAATAATGAAAACATTACTAGCTGACTTTTGGAGCCCTTAGGAAGAACCAGGCATGGTACCAAGCTCTGATATTCACATTTGATCCTTACAACATTGCATCGAGGTAAGTAGTATTATGATCCCCATTTTATAGATGAGGAAATTAGAGTAGAGGTGAGGTGAGTTGCCCGTGGTCACAAAGTTATGAACCCAGGCCTCTTTGCTCCTCAAGCCTGTGTACTGTTAGGTATAAATCAGATCACACGCCTGTGCCTGGGACAGGCAAGAACCAAACATGTGGTAGCTGTTTTCATTGTCAATACTTCCTCACAGGTTCATGGAAGGAAATTTAAAAGGTACAAAAGAGCACCCAAGGGAAAGTCTTCCCATGGCCCCCATCGCTTGTCCACCCAGTTCCGTGGCCCAGAGGCACCTGTGTTCCTAGGAGATGAAGGACGGGAGGCACAGCAGGCAAAGATGGCACTGCCAGGCATCCTGTCTCAGGTTAGTTCAGTTTCCTGCCCAACTTGCAGTGGCATGAGAAAATGCCAGTGTTTTTTATTCATTAAAACCCTGTTAGATATTTAAAGAAAAGGAATGTCCCCCGTTTGCTGGGTGCGTACTCCATGCCCTAGGGAAGCAGGACCCTGAGGGGATGTGGGCATGGGCCCCGGCTAGGCTGCAGGATGTGCACTTGGCCCAGCACCTTCCAGCTGTGTGACCTTGGCTAGGTCAAAGCCCTTCTCAAAGCCTTAGCTTCTTCACCTACAAAACGGGGCATTGACCTCAGTGACCCCCAAGGTCCCACGTTGGGTGGTGACTGTAGTAAACTGCAAGATGGAGAAAAGGTGCTGAATTGGCTCCTCCTTGTCCCCCTCTCTCAAGAAACCCCACAGAGCAGGGATCTGGGAAAGAGCTCGGGGGACAGTTTGGAGGCCTCTACCTGCACCTCTCCCTCGGGCTCCTTCCCACTTGGCCCACAGAAGTGACTGGAAGACAGCCTTCCCCTTCCCCTCTCGTACCCACACCTTCACCACGACGTGTCGCGGGCAGAGATGTATTGAAGCACCAGCCAAGACGCGCCCCTGGCCCACCCCCACTTACAGCGTTCCTGTTGACCAGCTGGCCCAGGTCCCCGGGCGTGTCCGTGTTACGGATGTCCACGTCATGAGGTGACACGTACAGCTTTGTGTTGTTCAGGTCAAAGAACTCAACTTCTGTGAGGCCCACCCACGCCGGGCTGCCCCAGTTGGACAGGATTTCCATTGTCACGTAGATGGCATCTTTCGGCTCTTCTGCTTTCATTCTCAACTTGTCCTTAAAGAAGAGAAACATGACGTCAAGAGATGACACACGACAGGCTGAAATCAGCTCTACCACTGAGCAAGCTACTTAACCTCTGTGCCTGAGAAAAAGGGCAGTGCCCAGTACCTATGGTTATTATGAAGATTAAATGAGCTCATATTTGAGAAGATTTGAAACACAGCTACTGTGTACTCTGGCACTTGGTGTTTCCTGTTTAAAAAGCATCAGATTCTGTCTGCACATCATGAATGTCTCTCCCCCACTACCAAGTGTTCATGTCCTATAGGCCATGTCACAAATTCTGCTGAATTGGGCAGGTCCCCCCAAAATTCATGCTGATGCCCTAACCCCAGAACCTCAAAGTTTAACTGTAGTTGGAGATAAGGCCTTTAAAAAGGTGAGTAAGCTAAAATGAGGCCGTCAGAGTGGGCCCTAACCCATTCTGACCAATGTCCTTATCAGAGGAAATCTGGGCGACACCAGGGATGCATGTGCATAGAGAAAGGCCACATGAGGATACAGGGAGAAGGCGGCCATCTGCAAGCCGAGAAGAGAGGCCTCAGGAGGAATCAAACCTGCCAACACCTTACTCATGGACTTCCAGCCTCCAGGAGTGTGAGAAAATGAATCTGTTATTTAAGCCCCAGACTGCGGTATTTTGTTAGGGCAGGACCAGCAGAATAACACAGTAGATAACACAAGACCCCAGCAAGTCACTTGACATCTCTCAGTCTAGTTGAGGAATCTGAGATGATACCATCTATCCGAGGGAGCTGTGCTCCGACTGGGGACCAAACCCACAACCTCGGTATGTAGCCTGACCAGGAACTGAACCTGCAATCTTTCTGGAGTACAGGACAATGCCCAACCAACCGAGTCATGGGCCAGGGCTCTCCTTCATTGGTTTTAAGGCCTGCCTCCTTGCAGGCAGACTATTAGGTCTGAGAGGCTGCAAGAATGCCATCAGTAAAAGGCCACACTGTGGAATGGCCTCCTGAGGTCCCTTGGGCACTGAGTGCAGCTCTGGTCGCCATGGATCAGTCACTCGGAAAGTGGCGCATTCCTGCGTGCACATGCCCCCTGATAATTAGAGCTGGTAATCTGCAATGGTTCTGTGAGCAGGGAGCTGAGCAAATGAACAGCAAATGTTTCCTACTTGTTTTTTTAATTAATAGCCAGCGACACGTGCTCTGGCTCTCAGCATGTGTTTGGAGGAGCCTTGATTGCCACGCGATGGGGACTGAGACGAAGGTGGGAGGGAGGGAGGTCAGCTCATAGCTCCCAGAAGGAACATAGGGCCTGTTTTTATCAGCTCAGTCCACAGCCCCCAGGCTTCCTCCTCCTGTGCCATGCAGGGCCCCAGCTGAGCCCTCTGCTGCCCTGGGCCTGAGTCGGTGAGAGACCTGAGCTGGCCTGGCTGAAGTGGGGGGCTGGGAGGTTAAGAGGCTGTGCTGTGAGGGGTGTTGACTGCCAGGGGCGCAGTGTGGGAATGTGGGGGAGCAGCACTGTGCACCTTGGCTGTGGGCTGCAGGGAGGAGGGCCAGATGGGCAGCGAGCTGCCTCGCAGAGGGGCGGCTGGATCTCCCACCCTGTGCAATCTAAAATGTGCAAATTCCCGCAGTGGAGTTTCTAAATGAAGGAGCTGAAAAGTCTGTTTTCTGAGGAAGTGTCACAACTTGTCAGTGCTGCAACTCCACGGCTACTCCTGCTCTGAATCTCGTGATTTAGGTCCCTTGAGGGGGTCTGAGGCAAACACTGGTGGGGAAGCTCCAGGTCCCTGGCACTCACTGCCACCCTCTCACCAGGACCACCTACTTTCCTTGGCGGAAGTTACCCCTTCTCTCTCCGCAGCCATGAGGTATAGGATGAACCCTTTCCCACCCCAGGAGGAGCCTGACCGGTCTGGGGATCCAGTGTGTCCTGTCCCCTGGGCCACTGGAGGGAGCGGCTCAGTGATGGGTGCGTGACCCAGTCTCAGATCTGTGGGGGGGAGAGGGACAGCCCTTCTCTCCTGACTGTGGGGTCTGAGGGTGAGAGAGTAAGAAGTGGGAACCTCTCCAGCTACCGAGGGGTGACAGGGCAAAGAGCAGAGCGGGGACTGGGCATGGTGGCGAGGAGGGACTCAGGGATGCAGCTGACACTGTGGAAACACGGTTTGAGCTGCTGGACTAACCCCGCCCGGTCCCATCTGTGGCATTTACTACGAGACTCTGTCATTTTTCTTCTCTTTGTTGCGTGAGTTTGCCGTAAGCTTCCTGTCTCCTATACCATAGAGACTCGATCAATCCAGGCAGTTTCCAATGTGACTAAAGTCTCACCACACTTAGGATCTTCACAGCTAAGAAAGCCACTTCCATGGAGTAGGAACAAAGCTTCGACTTTTCTAGCTCTTTCTAGATGGCAAACTTTCAACCTTGAACGAGGCATAGAGCCCTTCACTCTCCTAAGCCTTTCCTGCCCAGCCTCACCGCGGCCCCTGGGCTGTGGATTATTTACCCACTTCAACAGCCACACATTCCCAGGACAAGAGAGATTAAGATGCTTGTCTAAGGTCTCACACCCCTTAAACGGTAATGCCAGACTCAAAGCCAAAACTCGTGGGGGTGGTGCAGAGCCCTTTCTGCTGCCGTGAGTCCTACATGTGGCTTTGGGAGGCTTCATGTTAAGTCCTCACTGGCCACCAACCAAATATGAAGGGCTTGGATACAGGGAGGGGTGAGAAGGCTGTGCCGGGACACTCATCTAGTGACACGAAAGAACGGAGAGTCGCCCATTACCCCACCGCCCTGAGGCCCTTCCTTCCAGAGCATGCTCGGCTCCGTCCACACTCCCAGCCGATTCTGTGCACAGTCGCTGCAGTCACGTTGGACTAGACGAAGATTAATGTCACCTCTAGCAGTTACCTTGTAGCCTTAACATTTTCTATCTGCGTAAGCTCCATAATGATGATTTCCATCCTTTTATACTACTGCATTATGCTCATATATCACACTTTACTGATTACCTCCATTATTAAGAGACATTTATGTTATTTCTGGGTTTTTTCCTCATTTTTCTCTACTTCCAATAGTTCGGCAGCAGACACCTTTGTGCCTACAGCTTTTTATTTCTGCTGAGTGATTTCCTCAGGGAAGGAAGGGGGGTTACTGGGTTGGAAGACAGGAGCATTTCTGAGGCTCTTCCTAAGTCCAGCCTTCCTGCTTTCCAACAGCGTCCCGCTGTTCATGTTGCTGCCAGCGGGGCAGGACCGCCAGCTTCCTGTAACCTTGCCAGCACCAGAGGTCACCATCAAAATCATTTATTAACTCAGATGTCCGATGGGACACGCAGGCTGCTCTACTTTGCATTTCCTGATTGCCAGTGATGTTGGACATTTTCCTTTGGGCCCACGTGCTATTTATATTTCCTCCTGTGTGGACAGGCTGAGGCTCCTTGCTCCACCATGCATCTGTCTGTGTGCTGGGGAGGAGGGGGCATGGAGACGCGGGAGGAGATGCTGAGTTTACCCCGACAGAGCAATCCCACTGAACAGAGTGAGTACACCAAGGGCCCTGCCCACCTCAGCTTTCAGGAGACACTGAAGGCGTTTGGAAATCCCCATGGGCCTAGGTTCTCACCTCTGGGTCCAGCACTTGCTCCTTGGTTGGTGAAGCCACCCGGCTCACATGGGCAGAGTCACTTTCGATGGCCTGGAGGACTTTCAGGAGCTTCTGCTGTTGCCTGAAATGTGATTTGTTTTAGCAAACAGGTGGTAACACATAATACACCCAGAGAACAGTCCCACCTAAGGCACCACACTTCTGTCCTGCCTCAGAGACGGAACAATGTGAGAAGGTACAGCTAACCCTGGAACAATGCAGGGTCAGGGGCACCGCACCCCCCCCATGAAGTTGAAAATCTGCATATAACTTTTGACTCCCCCCAAACTGAACTACAGTCCCTCAGCATCTGTGTGGGATTGGCTCCAGGATCCTCTGCGGATAGCAAAATCTGTGGGTGCCCAAGTCCCTCATATAAAACGTTGTAGCACAGTGCTACAGCCGGCCCTCCGCAGCCGCGGGCTCTCAGCCCTGGATCAAAAATACTGCTTCTCATCCACAGTTGGCTGAATCCATGAATGCAAAACCCAGGGATGTGGAGGGCCCACTGTGTATTTATTGAAAAAAATCCACGTATTAGGGAACCCGTGCACTTCAAACTCGTGTTGTTCAAGGGTCAACTACACTCACCCCGCATACAGCTCAAGGTGCACATGGGATGCTTTCCTCCTTCTATAATGTTAAGTAACTGTAACATTAGTGATGAAATTGGAGCTAAATAAAAAAACCACATGGGCAAGATGGCCCGCTGACTGGTAACCGGTAAGAGTCTACAGCAGGGTCCACAAAGTATAGCCTGGAGCTCAAATGCAGCCTGTGGCCTGGTTTTGGATGGCCTGTAAGCTAAGAGTGATTTTTACGTTTTTAAAAGATGGTGAAAACAAACACTCAGAAAGTGTAAAGCCTAAAGAATTCGCCATCTGGCCCTTTACTGAAAAAGTTTGCCAACTGCTGGCCTAGAGACCACTCTGCACCTCACGTGTCTGAGGGTACGGCATTCCAGACCCAGCAGTGTCGTCTGCAAATGCTCCCCACGTGCGCTGCTTCAGGCTGCGTACCCACCCCCCAGCTGGCACGGGCACGCACACAGCGCACAGTGAGCAGACTCTGCATGGTGGCCGGGCAGTGGCCGGGCAGTGGCAATGGGCCAGTGTGCGCTTGTGAGCACAGGCTCAACCTGGCGCAGCTCTGAAGATCGATTTTGCCTGAAGACTAGAGGAAAGCCTTCATTTTTAAAATGATACTTGACCGTTCCAGTAACTGATGCCACATGGTAATGGAACAGAACGCTGTTAGAACAAACGTTAATAGAGAAAAGAAGGTTCAAAGGACGCTGCTTTGGACCACCAGCCCCCCAGCCCCACTCCAGGCCATCCAGGAACAATTCACCACCGTCTGCTGTGTGGGGTCTTCTGTGGGGACCTTTGAGGTGTGTTACACAGGTTGCACTGAACCGAACAAGCAGAGAGACACTTGCCTCAGAGATATCAAGTCAATTTTGCATTTTAGCGCTGAGTGGGGGTTAGAGAGGATTCAGTCTAAAGGAGCAGTTTTAAATGGTCTGGAGTAAGTAGGAAAAGCAAAGAAAAACCTCAGGTCCTCATAGCTGCACTGCTATGGGTTTCTTGTTTTTGTTTTGAAGTCACCAAGTACCTGCTCCCCAAAAGGCCAATTCGGTCAATGGCTTCACTGACGGCTCTGGCTCCCCCTGCTGCCCTGGGTGGCTCCTGCGTGCTGGTCACCACGGTGATGGGTAGCCGCTGAGGATGGAAAAGCTTATTAAACAGATGTCCAGGGTGGCCCTCCTGGCCCAAGACACAGCAGAGCCATGGTCAAAGGGACATACTTTGCAGGCCACCAGTCCCATTGCAGGAAGCAGGGGACAGGAATGAGAGTGACAGTGTCTGCCTGGGGCTGATGAGATCTAGAATCCCTCACAAGAGCTTTGCAAAGTCAGGGATGTCAGTTTCTTATGATCAGGGAGGGCCTAGGAAACAATTTGCTTCAATGAGCTATTGAAAAATTTCTCTCCTGTGTGCTCTCACTCTCACTCTCAGGCCCGTGCCTTTCCCCCTCTTCTTCCCTCAAGGTGCATACCTTTGAGAGCGCGCTCTCTCTCTCTCTCCTACTGCCTAAGCTTGAAGGGCCCTTGAAAATAAAAAAGTAGGTCCTGATTGGGTAGCTCAGTTGGTTACAGCGTTGTCCCCATACACCAAGGTTGCTGGTTTGATCCCCATCAGGGCACATACAAGAATCAACCAATGAATGCATAAGTAAGGGGAACGACAAACCGATGCTTCTCTCTCTCTCTCTCAAATCAATAAATTAAAAATAAAATAATTTTCATCAACGCCTTTCCCCATCTCAACTCAACCCCTGTTCTATCTGCTACAAAGTAATGGAGTCCATGGACAATTCCAGTATCATCATTAGGCCCTTTCTCCCTTTCCCCTCTTTTTCATATATCACCTCAACTGGAAATGTGCTCTGCGCTCTGTCTGCAAGTGATTTTAGTCATTGGAAACCCTGTGGGTCAAGGGTCAGGTCACCCAGAAATCCTGAATGACAGGGTGGGCAGTGTTGCAGACCCATTAAAATGTCAGCCAGGGACAGTTTAAAACGACCAGGAAATAACAGAACAAGTAAGAGGGACACAGAGAGAAAGCCGCTGCAGCACTCTCGGCACTGCCCTGCCCACCGTCCTATCCCACCGGGTGCGCTCTCCTCTCCCACCCCCTCTTCCTGCCCCACGATCCAGGCTTCCTCCTGCTCCCGGGTCCAGCCATCTCATTCTCACTCCAAAGCGTTTCCCGTTCCTTCTACTTGAAATGCTGTTTCCTGTTGCCGGCTGGCTCCTTCTTAATAGACAGGGATCAGCTCAAGCGGGACATCCTCCAAGGGGCCTACTTGGGCCACCCTGCCATAGGTAGCCACCATCCCAGACCCAGTCAGCTTTAATCGTCATCTCTCTCTGAAGTCCCATTTATTTACGGCTTTGTTTGCCTGTTGTCTGCAAGCTTCACAAGGCCAGGGGCTAATCTGATCTGTATTCTGAGCACACAGCACAGGCTGGTGCACAACCTAACCAAGACATTCCTGGGCATCTTATTAATTCCCATCTGTATTTGCAGAGATAGGCCTAATTGGCCTGGGTAGATATAGCTATAATTTATAATTTATAATTTATTTACTTAGAACACTAAGATCCGTTTTGGTGTTGTCTTGTCAGGAAATAGAAATGTAACAAGAAACTGGAGTCAGCAGGCCTGGCTGAGTTCTGGCTTCCACTTGTAGCCTTGGACAAGCCACTGCAGCCAGGTCTTCCCACCTGTGAAATGGGCAGAACAACCTGTGCTCGGGAGCACAGTGAGGATCTGCTGGGGTTATGTGAGGAAGGCTCTGGAGAGCGTCAGGTGCTGTGGGCACGGGCTTTGCTGTTCCTCCTGGACCTTCACTGACCTCAGTGCTCTCCTCCTGCTCCAGTAGACTGGTCCACAATTTTTCTGGGGGTCCCTCCATGTCCTGGAATGATATAATCACATGTCATGAACAAAGCCATCCACTGTGTGTGCTTCACTGACAGACAAGGGCAAAAAGGCACAGGGACTGTCTTGAGGTCTCATAGACACAGACAGAGACAAAGGACTGAGCTCCAGGAAAACAGACAACAGGTGCTGCTCAATGAACGTCCCAAAGAACAGGCTGTAGTGGAAACTGGTAAGCAACTGGTGGTGTGGATGGGGCCCTGGGCTTACAGGCAGGCAGATCTGGGCCACTTCCAGAGACATAGCCTGAGTGAGCCACCCTTCCTCTCTTGGTGCCATCGGGGACCTCTATAGAATGGGCTGATGAGGCCAGCGAGCCCGTTTCAGGGTTACTGTGAGCATCAAGTGGGACAAGCTAAGATCAAAGGTTTCAGCAGCCGAGTCAGAAAACATGCTTCTGAGAAAAGATGTGTACACTGAGGTACGTCCAAGGCCCCTGGCTCCCCAAGGGGCCCTGCTCCACCCACCACTCCTCCTGCTTACTGCTCAAAGCCCAAGGCAGTTGGCACAAACTCAAACACCTTCAGGGCCAGGGAGGTTTTCTGAACAGGTGAAGGAGGCCGGGCAGGACTGCAGGAGTGGTGAGGACCCAGAGGCCTGTTAGGCTCACGCTCTGGGGAATGAGATCTTTCCAGAGAAGCCAGAGCTTGTCATTTACTCTATTCTTTCTCTTACCTACAGTTTGCAACCTAGCCTAAGGTATCAGGGTTTGCAGGGAAATCATCAAGGATTGGAGGCATATTAGCATCCAACTTAGACTTTCTGCAGGAAACAGAAAATGAGAAAGAAGGTGGAGGAAACGGAACCTTTGGCAGGTCAGTGAGCGACTGTGCATTAAGCAATGAATGTGCAGATTGGCGTGAGGTCACAGATGCCTACATCACTCTCCTCACCAAGTGCTCTGTGCAAACACTGCTCAGACACCACCTGGTCCCCTCCCCCTGCCAGGGAACCAGGGAACCCAGGGCACCTGCAGCGGGCTGGTGGGGGCCTCAGCCTTCCTGCTCAGGAGCGCCCTCTGCAGGGCTTCATTCTCCACCTGGATGGCTCTGAGCACAGCTGACGCGTCTTCCGGCGGGTCCTGAGCCTGGAGCACAGGTTTTCGGGTTGCTGATAGGGGTCTCTCTCTTCGGCTTCCAGGTCCTGGGGGCAGAAAATCCGAGTTCTCCCTTTAGATTGCATTCTCAGAGTGCAGTTTAAAAACTATTACACTCAAGTTGAGGAACAATCTATAGAACAATGGGCCTGTACTCTCCCCAAATGTCAAAGTCATGAAAGACAAAGAAAGCCTGGAGAGCTGTTCCAGATTAAAGGAGCCTGGCAGGCATGGCAACTGAATGCAGTGGATCCTGGGACTGGACTGTGGGTGGGAAAACTAGCTGGAAAGAACATTAGTGTAGCAAGAGGAGGAAGCCAAACACAGTCTGTAGCTTAGATAACAGTAGTGTATTAATGCTAAATTAGCCTAAATTTCATAACTTAAGTGTAACATAGAATGACTGTCCTTGTTCTTAGGAGATGCAGTCAGCCCTCCGTGTCTGCGATTCCACGTCCACAGATTCAAGCATGTCCTACGTAGTCAGGCCTATGGCAGATGCATCTGTGCTGAGCATGCTCAGACGTTTTCTCGTCATTACCCCTAAACAATACAGAATGACAACTGTGTACACAGCATTTGCACTGTCTTAAGGATCCCAGGTAATCTAGAGGTGATTTCCAGGACGCAGGAGGACATGCATAGGCTGCATGCAAACATTACACCATTTTCTCTAAGGGACTTGAACATCGGGTTTTGGTGTCCACGGGGGTCCTGAAACCAATCCCCTGCAGATACAGAGGGACAACTATACATACTGCAGTGTTCAGGGGTAAAGGGGAATGATGTATTTTTTAAAATCTCAAATGATTTTTTTAATTTTTTTAAAAATATATATCTTTATTGATTTCAGAGAGAGGAAAGGAGAGGGAGAGAGAGAGATAGAAACATCAATGATGAGAGAGCCATTGATCAAGCCCACAACCCGGGCATGTGCCCTGACCGGAAAATCGAACACTCGGTCACCTGGATCCTAGGTTGACGCTCAACCGCTGAGCCACGCCCGGCCGGGCTCAAATGATTTTTAAAAACCCACATAGTCTGGCCGGCGTGGCTCAGCGGTTGAGCATCGGCCTATGATTCAGGAGATCGCGGTTCAGTTCCCGGTCAGGGCACATGGCTGGGTTGTGGCTCAATCCCCAGTGGGGGGCGTGCAGGAGGCAGCGGATCAATGACTCATCTTTGATCTTTCTATTTCTCTCTCACTCTCCCTTCTTATCTCTGAAATCAATAAAAATATATTTTAAGGAACCCCACATACACAGCAATTATAAAGCAATTGAGCCAAAATGTTAACAACTGGTGAGCCTGGGAGAAGGGTTATGGGTGTGTCATTTGTACTATCCTTGCAACTTTCCTTTAAGTATGAAATTATATTGAAATAAAAAGTTATTAAAAATTAACCCTCTAACAAAGTGCCTATAAGGAATAATATGTAATATCATGGAGAGGGATGGATATTTTGAAATATTTTTGCTTTATTTTGTTTTTGCAGGGACAACAAGAATTACAAAGAAATTACTCCTCGATTTAAGAAAAAAAGGTATTGCAAAGGGATGGTTGACTCTGGAAGTTCCAATAGTGAAAAACTGGTTTGATAAAGTGTAAAGTGATATGCAAAAAGCAGTCCAATAAGACTGCTGGATAAAATAAATTATGGTATATCTACCTAACGGTGGAGTACTATGTAGCTGTAAAAAGAAAAGCATACTAAAATATCTTCAGTAAAATGATACACTGACTTGAGTTTGCCCCATAATCATCTGGGAAGCAGAGGAAATGAAATTGGCTGGTAATAGACTCATGGGGCTCACTATAACATCCTCTCAATTGTTTATATTAGGATTCTTTCTATATAAAAAAAAAAAAATTCCACTTAAAAACTGCTCAACATGTTCCTATTGGTATCCTGAAGGAGGCTTTTACCTAGCGAATTTCATCACCTCAGCAAATAATTATTGAGTGCTCTCTGCCAGGCTCTGTTCTTGGCACTGGGGACACAGTGGTGATCAGACAGATCAAGATCCCCCACCCTTGGGGAGAGAGACAATAGCCAGAGAAAGAATAAACAGTATAGGGTGTTAGCGGAAAATGCCATGGAAAAAAGAAAAGCAGAGCAGAGTAAAGGAGATGGAGGGTGCGGGGTGGCAGGGTGGGCATCATGGAGCACCAGGGAAGCATGGTCCCGGCACCACGGCAAAGCTAGAGGCCCATGGTGTGTCCGAGGACCAGCAAGGCACCTTGGGTTGGAGCAGAGGGAGTAGCAGGTAGGTAGAGAGGCCTGAGAGGGGTGGGAAAGGTCGAGTCACACAGGGCCTCGAAGGACGCTGTAAGGCCATTGCTCTGAGTACAGTGGGAAACCACTGAAGGATTTAGAGCAGGGGATGGCTTGATCTGACTCAGGTGGAGAACAGGCTGAAGGGAGGTGAGGGTCAAATCAGAGACCGGTTAGGGGCTGCCGCAGTGGTGCAGGGGAGGCAGGGGAGAGGGGAGGAGGGGTACAGAGTGCAGTCAGATCCTGCATCCATGCTGAACACAGGGCCAGCAGGAGCTCCTGACGAGTAGATGGGGCTGGGAGAGAGGGGAGCCAAGGACAACTCGGTTTGGGCCTGAGGAAATGGACAATGGGATTGTTTTCAACAGAGCTGGGGAAGGCTGTGCGGGAAGCAGGTTTAGAAGCAAAGAGCAGGAGCTCAGGTTTGGACGGGTTGGTTCTGAGATGTGATGGCATCATAGTGGAGCTGCTGAGCTGGCACACACATATACAGTCTGGAGTTTGGTGGGGAGAGCGCCTGGGCAACTGGATCGCATTACTTAACAGCACTATCGAAGATTGACATTGACATTTGGACTCTAACAAACTAACTGGAAAGTTACAGGTGTGATCTCTTGGGGTCATATATATATATATATA